GATCTGTCCTTGGGTCTTGGAACTAGATTCCAAACTTGACTTCTCTCAAACTGATTAAGTTCATCTTGCATTGCATTTACCCAATCTACATCCTGCAAAGCCTCAACAACATTTTTAGGTTCAATAAGAGATAAGAAAGAATCAAAATCACACAAATTCTTTAATTGTGATCTAGTTTTAACTCCAGATGTTGATCAGTAATTATGTTCTCAATGGGATGAGAACTTTGGTACTTGTAAGGTTTCACAACCAACTAGTTTCTGTTTGATGTTTCTCCCATGTTTTGTTGCTGAGGAACAGGATCAAGGACAGGTTCCATTAGAGGATTGGTTTCAGTTCTTCTTTGTTTAGTTCCCCATGTTAGGTTGCCCTGGATGGAAGAACCTGTTCCATCACCTGTTCCTTATTTTGGTGCATCTTTAGCTTGAGCTGTGGCTTACCATTTTCTCATTGGACCACAGAGATCCATATGAACCAGTTCCATCATCCTGGTTGTGCTTACCATTTTCTTGCTTTTAAAAGATGATCTTACCTGCTTCCCCCTTGCACAGGCCTCACAAACTTTGTCTTACTTGAACTTGATGTTAGGTAACCCTATCACCAGGTCCTTGGAGACTAATTTGTTGAGTTGATTCAGACTTGCATGACCAAGTCTTTTGTGCCACAGGAGGGGATCATTGTCCAACACACTCAAGCAATTGAGTTCATTTTCTGAAAGAGTGGACAAATCTACAATGTAAATATTGTTAACTCTTTTTCCCTGTAAAACAATCTTGTCAATGGTAAGATTAATCACAAAGCATTTGGTATAGGTAAATACTACCAGGTTACCTCTATCATACAGTTGTGATACACTGATTAGGTTATATTTCAAGCTATCTATCAAGCAGACATTCTCAATGGAATGTGAGTTTGTCTTACCTACCTTTCCAACCCCAATGATCTCACCTTTTTTCCCTTTTCCAAAGGAGACATTACCTCATTTTAGATCCTCAAGTGAAAGAAACTGGTTCTTGCTTCCAGTTATATGCTTTGAGCAGCCATTATCCATGTACCATATTTGACTACTTCCCTTCACTTGGACCTGCAAAACGAAATCAGGGGTTAGTCTTAGGAACCCAATCTAGTTTGGGTCCCTTTCTATAGGCAAAGGGGTGAATTAAATTCCTTTTGGCCCATCCAAGCAGCCTATTTTTCTCTTGAACAAAGGTTTTGTTCTTTTGACTGGCCTTTTCTTTTGCATTACGTTCACTTTTGTAATGACCAGTCTTGCCACAATGTGTGCAGATTTTTTTTCCAGGAAGTGTGATATACTTGCTTTTGGGATCCCACTTAGGTGTTGGGGTCCCATAGCCAAGTCCTCTCTTGTTGCTACTGTGGTGCTCTTGTATCCAGGATAGTGCATCAGAGGACTTATTCCACTTACAAGTTCTATCTAGTTCATGCTTCACCTTGCCTAGATCTTCTTTTAGGACTCTTATCTGCTCATCTTTTTTGTACAACTCATCTTTCACCTTTCCTAGATTTTCTTCTAAGGTGAGATGTGTGTGATCACCTTTATTCTTACCTGTTCCTAATTTTAGTTTTAAATTTTCAGATCTAAGTTCTAAGACACTGGTGTCAAGTTCAAGAACCTGGTTCTTCAACTCAGCATTTTTACTATCACTTTCTCTAGCCTTAAATTCCAGATTTTTGCACTTGGCTTTTAGGATCACATATTCCCTAGACAACTGTTCCTTTTCATTGTTTATAACCTCAGACTCATAAATAAAGTCTAGCAATAATTCAGATGACCTTTCTTTAGACAAGAATTTAATCTTGTCTTTGAGATGAATAACACTTACCTCTTGTTCATCATCTTATTCTCCAATGGCCATAAGTGCTTGTTCATCTCCAGTTCATCTTCTGAATCCCCATCTAATGTTTCTTCCCAAGCAGCAACCATAGCCTTTGTTGATCCTTTGTTCCTTTTGGGTTGAACTTGTTCCTTCGTTCAGCCCTTTCCTTATTCTATTTGATTTCCCACCGAGGACAATTCTTGATCATGTGGTCAGTCTTTCCACATTTGTAGCAGCCCTCGTTGGTCTGTTTCTCAGGATCCCTTGGTTTGTTGAAGGTTGTACCTCTTGAAGAACCCTTTCCTCTCATCAGGTACTTTTTGAAATCCCTTGTGATCATGGCCATTTCATTATCCTCTAGATCTGCACCTTCAGCTATTGTGAGAACCAGACTCCTTTCCTTCTTGGGTGTATCCATTTTCATGGTTTGTCTTCTCAGTTCATAGGCAGTGAGATTTCCAATCAGCTCATCTAACTTGAGAGTAGCAATGTTCTTTGATTCCTGAATAGCAGTGATTTTGCTTTCCCAAGTTACTGGTAAGACCCTTATCAAGATTTTCTCAACCTTGTCTTCTTCAAGAATAATTCTTCCAAGGGATTTAAGTTCATTTGTTAGTGTTGTGAACCTTGTGTACATTTTCTGGATAGTTTCTCCTTCCTTCATGGTGAAATTCTCATATTGAAAATATAACAGTGTTCCTTTTGATCTCTTTACTTGAGGTTCTCCTTCATGGGCCACTTGTAGAGTGTCCCATATCTCCTTAGCAGTGGTACAACTTTGAATCCTATTGTACTCGTCTGGACCTAGTCCACAAACAAGCCACTTCTTGGTCTTGGCATTCTTTTCCCATTTCTTCAAATCTTCAGCAGTGCAGTCAACTCTTGTCTTTGGCACGTCCACTCCTTCAGCATTCTTCTTTGTAGTAGCCAGAGGACCACTAGTGACTATGTCCCAAAGTTTATAGTCTTCTCCTATGATGTGGTCTCTCATCATGTTCTTCCACCAAGAATAGTACTGACCATTAAAGAGTGGGGGCCTAGCAGTGGATTGCCCTTCCCAGTTTTCAGGTGGTGCACACATCTTGATCTGTTCCTAAGGTGTTAACCTCTTCAAGGATAACCTGCTCTGATACCAATTGATGTTTTAGACTCCAATACCACACAAGAGGGGAGTGATTTGTGTGGTACCCAATTTTTGCTTAACTTGATTACAGAAGGACCTGGTTCTTCTATGTGTTCCAACTACTACTGTTTGCGGAATAATAAGTAAAGAAAATAAAGAACATAGAGATTTTTACGTGGAAAACACATGGTTCAAAAGGTGAAAAAACCACGACCTACTACTCAGTAGGATTTTTCCAAACTTCCACTAAAATCACTGAGCCAAAAACTGCATTTACAAAAACTCTTTTGTAAACCTAGGATTAACTCTAATCCTGTTGTGGCACACAACTTCAACTGTTGCGACAACTTCAAGTTAACTCTAACTTGAAAACTCTAAGTACCTAATACAATTACTTCTATAAAAATTGAAAAGGTACAATGAAAACACCTACTACAATTGAACTAGAAATAAAAGAAAGACACTTGGAACTGGTTCAAGTAGCTTCAGGATTGCACACTTGAATCACACATGAATTGCTTGCAAAAATTGCCTTGCTATTTTGCTCTCAATTCACGTTTAACTTCTGCTTATGTGCATTACTTGTAAAAGAGAACAACACTGATATTCAATGGGTTAGTAATTAGAGATTGACTGGGATAGAAATGCTACTCTTTTATGGTAGAAGAGTTCTAGTTGATCTCATACTCTAACATTATCCTCTTCCTAAACTGCGTTCTCTTCGTGTAAGGAGTCTTTCTCTCCTTATCCAATATGCAACTTTTTCGATCAGATCAGGAGATATTACTTCTGATAAGTTAGATTTATCTCCTTCATGTGCATCTCACATGTTTGGGTTGATCACGACTGTGCTTCACAAGATGGACCCGGTCCATGACTGAGTTCCTTTGTTCAGTCTTCAAAACTTCACATTTACTTGTGCCACCAGCGAGACAGTGAATACAATGAAACACATAGAATACAGTGATTTACATTGAAATACAATGAAAAAAAAATAATGAATACAATGAAACACATAAAATACAGTGAGATATATTGAAATACAATGATAAAAAAAGACAATGAATACAATAAAAAACAGCGAGATACATTGAATATATTAACAGAAAATTCAAGTTGCTCAGCCCCAACTCCGTCGCCTTTGTTCAATAAAAAAACAATATTAGCTACGGAATTTTCAACCATTAAAAAATATATGAATATAATAGCACCCAATTGTTTACATATCACACTAAGTCCCAGCGGAAAACTGATCTCACATCTTGACCATAAAGAATATGGTGTTGACTTCATCAATGCTTTTTCATTCCTTCAGTCTGCTCTCAAGAACCAGTAATGCAGTCATGGCCTAATATACAGTGCAATCCCAAAAAAAAACAGCCTATGGAGATACACAGATGAATACATTTTATGCATCTGCTTTTTAGGGCGTGTAACAGAAAGTTGATGTAAATAGAGAGATATGGGGTAGGGGATAGGAGAAATTTGAGGGGATATGAGAGAGAAAAATAATACAAAGCTTATTTTATGACTTAAGGATAGGAGGTGACCATAAATAAATATTTGGTTATAAAAAGTCAAAAGGTAGCTATAAAATATAATTTTTTAAAAAGGTATTTATTTAAAATAAATAAGGTATCAACTTTTATAGGAGGTAACTAGTATTAATTTTGTTTGGACTCTGAACTATTCCAGTGACTTAAATGCTCGTGTTTGAATATTGTCGATTTCAAAAGTTAATCTTCTCATTTTAATAAGAACATAATTAACCCAAATAGCCGCCCCAACAGCTGAAACTTAAAAAAGGCGGTGAATATATAATATATGCATATTTTATGTAATATGCGTGTATAATTATATATAATAAATATATAATCTGCGTATATGACTAGAAAAGATAATGAATATGATCGGCTATTTGTGTAAATATCCAGATTATTGGACGGGCTAGAAATGAATTTGTACAGTGTAACTTGTTGGTCCAAGATGGCTTTTTGGGCTCAAGATAGCCCCTCATCTGATCAATAGACGTGCAACTACCTCCCGCCAAAGTTTACAGAGTTTGAAAATAATGGTCTGACTGTTTAGACCAATGGTACGTGATTTCAAAATGCGCTTCAGAAGATTGCACAGCATTTGTTCGCGTTCACTGAAAAACGAACCGGCGACTCATCTCAGAGCAGAATTACCACACAGAAAAAGTCCCAAGATATCCGGCGGTGAACCACCGGCGAAGGCAAAAAAAGTCAGTAGCTCGGATATAGTGCAATGGAACAGGACCATCACCCAACACATGCGACAAGGAGAATGCGATTCCGCACTGCGCTTATTTGATTCCATGCCTGCCAAGTCCTGTGTATCCTGGAATGCAATGATATCTGGGTATTTGTCGAACGGCAGATTGGACCTCGCACAGCAGTTGTTTGATGAAATGCCTCAAAGAGATTTGGTATCCTGGAACATTATGCTTAGTGGGTATATCAAGAGTAAGAATTTTGGGTCAGCTAAGATATTGTTTGATCAAATGCCTGTTAAAGATGTAGTTTCGTGGAATGCGTTGCTTTCCGGGTATGCCCAGAATGGATACATTGCTGATGCTAAAAGGATCTTTGACATGATGCCTGTGAAGAATGAAATCTCGTGGAATGGACTTCTGGCTACGTATGTTCAGAATGGGAGGATTGAGGAGGCGAGGAAATTGTTTGAGTCAAAGGACTATTGGCCGCTGGTTTCTTGGAATTGCTTGTTGGGCGGGTATTTGAAGAAGCAGTTATTGGCTGAGGCGAGGGTGCTTTTTGATAGAATGCCTGTGAAGGATCAGGTCTCATGGAACACAATAATTTCTTGTTATGCCCAGAATGATAATTTGGAGGAAGCGAGGAAGTTGTTCGATGAGTCCCCCATTAAAGACGTGTTTACGTGGACTTCACTGCTTTCTGGTTATGTACAGAATGGGATGGTAGATGAGGCTAGAAGGATTTTCCATGAGATGCCAGAGAAGAATGAGATCTCGTGGAATGCAATGATTGCAGGATATGTGCAGTCTAAGAGGATGGACTTGGCGAGGGAATTCTTTGAGGCAATGCCTTGCAAGAACGTCAGCTCTTGGAACACAATGATAACAGGCTATGCACAAAATGGGGATATCGTGAGTGCCAGAAGTTTATTTCATTGCATGCCTTGTCGTGATTGCATCTCTTGGGCAGCAATAATTGCTGGATATGCTCAAAGTGGCAATAGTGAGGAGGCATTGCGCATGTTTGTGGAGATGAAAAGAAATGGCGGGAGGATAAATAGGTCGGCATTTACTTGCGCTTTGAGTACATGTGCTGACATTGCTGCTTTCGAATTAGGAAAGCAAATACATGGACTGCTTGTCAAGGCTGGATATCACACTGGTTGCTACGTAGGAAATGCGCTCCTAGCAATGTACTGTAAGTGTGGAAGCATTGATGAGCCATATGATGTGTTCGAGGAAATAGAAGAGAAAGATGCTGTCTCTTGGAATACAATGATCGTTGGTTATGCAAGGCATGGTTTTGGCAAACAAGCTCTTCAACTATTCAAATCGATGAAAGAAGCAGGTTTCAAACCTGATGATGTCACCATGGTAATGTTGATACATTATTAATTTTAGAAATGATTTCAAGGTTATTTTAGAACTGCTTTTGCATTTATGGAACTGTTCAAAACCACTCCATCCCTAATTGCTTAATGTGATTGTATGTAAAGATTGCTCCGGTGTGTTGTGGGTTACCTTTGCATGTTCCATTCTTTCTAGTTGAACAGTCACGCTACAGAGACCAACCATCATCTGATATAGGGTTTTGACACAATCATTATATTCTCAATACTTCCCTCTTATGTGCATGTTTTTTTATTTTCTTATTTTTATATACAGTTATTTAGGTTTCCTTTTTTTGTCCTTTTTCTTTATAGGTTGGTGTATTGTCTGCTTGTGGCCATACTGGCCTGATTGACAAGGGCATGGAATACTTTTACTCAATGGGTCGAGATTATGGAATAACTGCAAACCCAAAACACTATACTTGCATGATTGACCTTCTGGGTCGAGCTGGTCGCCTGAATGATGCTCAAAATCTAATGAAGGACATGCCATGTGAACCAGATGCTGCAACTTGGGGTGCTCTCCTTGGGGCAAGTAGGATCCATGGAAATACTGAATTAGGAGAAAAGGCTGCTGAAATGATTTTCAGTTTAGAGCCATTGAATGCAGGGATGTATGTCCTTCTCTCAAACTTATATGCAGCTTCTGGTAGATGGCGTGATGTTAGCAAGATGAGATTAAAAATGAGGGATATAGGTGTAAGGAAAATGCCTGGTTACAGCTGGGTTGAGCTGCAAAATCAGATTCATCTTTTTTCAGTCGGGGATACCATGCATCCAGACAACAAGAAAATATATGCTTTCTTGGAAGAATTAGAATTACTAATGAAGCAGGAGGGTTATGTCTCTGCCACGAAATTGGTCCTGCATGATGTGGATGAAGAGGAGAAGGCACACATGCTCAAGTATCATAGCGAAAAATTGGCTGTTGCCTTTGCAATTCTAAATGTACCATCTGGGAGACCAATTCGTGTGATGAAAAATTTAAGGGTTTGTGGAGATTGTCATACTGCTATCAAGATCATATCAAAGATTGTGGGGAGATTGATAATCATTCGGGATAATAACCGGTTTCATCACTTCAGTGGAGGTGTTTGTACCTGTGGAGACTATTGGTAGTACTAGAATGTGAAAGTTTACCAGTAGATTTCAGCGGCGGTAATATTTAGCTATTGCGCTGGCCATGAGGCCATCTCCACACATGTTGAGGATTTATGGTGGTTGCCGGACCCCACGCATAGCGGGAGCTTAGTGCACCGAGCTGCCCTGCACATGGGGAAGAAAAGCGCAAGCACTTGGTTTTAGTTCTTCCTCTATCCAACATGAAAAACTTTTTACTGAAGCAACTGTGCAGCAGAGGGGTAACTCCTTTCTTGTTGTTTGGTGATTTTGGTGCGTACAATCTGTTATCTCCTCATTGATGTTGGTAGAGAGGATATGTGCTGAGATATATGGTCCATCATCCTTGCAGTTAAGCATCATAGGACAAAAGGATGAGGAATAGTTGCCTTAAGTTTATCAGAAATCTGACAGCAAGAAGAATCAGGTGAATGTGTAGGAGAGGTTGAGCAGTTGTTCCTCTCAGATAAGTCGAATACCGCTTTTGAAGTACTGAATCTTTGTTAATCTGTTCTCTGGCTGATAGATTCTTGACAGGCCTATTCTATGCATCTCTGTCTGCCCCAAATGTATGACAGTGACTGTTCATTGTGTATCATAAACTGAGCTCACTGATTGATTTCCTACTTCTTTGAGCACCACTAGCTATGTGGCAATGATATTGTTGTGCCTCAATATTGACATATGATGGCCCTCTCTTCAAAATCTGCTTACTAACAGAATTTATGCTGCCTAAGATTACTTTTGCCCTGAGTTAACCTAATCTGCAGCCATGAGAAAAGTCATAGTACATCTTTTCGGGATCTGCTGAGGTGGACATTTGTTGGATGACTAGACATTCACCATACTCAGTTGTCGTTGGTACTGGTATCCTTCTGAGTTTCGAGAGCAAAAGGTAAGGAAATTTCCTTCATCCTAAATTTCTCTTCCTATGATCAGTAGTTCGGGTGAGAGTCACTTAAGATGTTATTGTAACTCTGTTCAAAGCAGAGATTGTACAGTCTCTGTATTTGTAGTGTTTGTGTTTCTAACTAGTTACATTCAGTTTCAGGAAGAAAAGAGTAATAAATCGACAGATTGAACAAAATGGTGGGAAAAGCCACATTGCTTGAAGGTAGAAAATACTTTGATCTGGTAAGTGGATCCGATGGGAAGTGTTTTGGATAGGGATGTAAACATATATCTGCTCAAGCAACTTTGTTTCCAGTCGGAGTAGTATCATTTAACCTGACATAGTAAGGCAGGATAGCAGTCGAGTGGATTTTGGGATGAACCAACTCTATAATAGAACGAGAGATACCAAGAAACGTTCGTCTAGTTTTGGAATCCCCGCTTAGCCCTTCAATAACTTACTGGCAATAGTGTTTGATGATTTTGGCTGGCTGTGTTTCCTGTTGCCGATACAATTCAGAGAAATTTTAACTATCTCAACATTTGTATAAAGTGGCACTGCTTCATGTTTAATTTTTACTCAAGCCATGAAAGGTACGACCAAGGAGATTGTTCACACACTGAAGAGAGTACTATGCTACCAGTCTGAGGCAACGGGTAGAAAGAATAATTGGCCTGAAACCTTCAGTTGGATTTCTTGAGTAATTGGAAGCGGGAGGCTAGCCCAGCGATGTGTTTGAGGCTTTTTTGTTTAATCAAAATATGTTTATGGCTTAATATGCTGAACTGTCAATGTACCATACAGTTGGACACAAGGTGGTTACACATGTAGATTCACATAAATCTGGAATAGCCTAAATAGGACATAGAAACCTGTTTGCGCTTCTCTCTGATTGGAACATTGCTATCTTTTTTCATGATTATATTTTTTCTTTATAATCCTTTTTGCAATAGTGTGTGTTTCTTAATCAATAGCATTAAGCAGAGAATGCAGTGAGAGATTAGCAGCATATGAAAATACTTTATAATCAAATTTATACAGAGATGAGTTGAATTTTGCAGAATAAGTTCATGATCCTATTCAGGTCAACAGTTATCAAGTCTACCTAGTTTTAAGACGGGCATTTGCAGTCAAAGTGTCAATAACCAAATCTTTTCATTTTGTTCCTTCCCCAGTTGTTAGTTTCCTTTTTACGCTTTGTTCCACTTCCAGGATTACCAACAGCCCCATCAGAGTGGAAACAAACCACTGCTCGCTGTAAATGAAGAAATATATTATAAATGAGCACTCCCTCTCTGAACCTTTACTATACTTCATTTACAAAGCTAGATCCAACTTGATATTTTAAACAGTAAGATGGGTATGTGTTTTACCTCAATGCTAGCTTTTTGGCCTTGTAAATTTCCTGTTCAGAACAACATGAGGTGTGACTCGACGAGTATAATTTTCATAAAAGTACAATTATAGTCAGGATTTCTCACCAGGGTACTTAGGCATGATTTTCTCACCAGAGCCAGTCTCATCTTTTATTTCTATACCAGGATGGCACTTATCTTTTTGGCCTTGTAAATTACCTATTCAGAACAACACAAGACGTGACTCGACATGTATAATTTTTTTAAAAAAATCAATTATAGTTAGGATTTTCTAACCAGAGCAGTTGGGTAAGATTTTCTCATCAGAGCCAGCTTCCTTTTTGGGTTGTATACCAGGATGGAACTTATCTTTGGACTTAATGATTTGGGAAAGAGTTCCATCATCAGTTTCTTCAAGATTTTTAAGAGGTTAGACAACAGGTCTTTGCACAGAAAGTCTTTAAGCTTTGACATAGAATTAAAAAACCAGTAAATCAACATACCTAAGAGCGATTCAATAGCGGCTCGAGCAGATACTTGCTCTGCCATTTTCTTACTTCCAGCTTCCTCACCTTTGTAAGTTCTAAATCCCAAAGACACGGAGGAAATAAAAACTGAACTTTGCCCTTCATATCCTGGGTTATATATAGGCCTTCTCAGGTTCTTCTTGATAGCAAATTCATATAGAATGGATTTGCACAATAGTGGTTCCTTGAACACAACAAAAGACAAACAAGAAAGTAAAATAAGTTATGTATTTTAAGCAAAACATAAATGTTTAGATATTAAGAGGGTGTTTGGATTCGCTTTTAAGCTGGTCAAATCAGCTTTTAAAACCTTTTTAGCTTTTTTCAATGTTTTGGTAAAATCAAAAAATAAGTTAAAAACTGTTTAAAACAAGCCAAAAACAATAACTTGGGCAACCCCGACTTATTGTTTTTTTGGCTTAAAAGTTATTTCTGTTGAAAAATTACCTTTTTAATCCAAGCCAAACGGGCTCTAAGCTAGCGTTTTGTCATAGATTCCCAAATTTCTTTTGAAAAATTTGATTTGGGTGAAGTTTGGTTTGAAGATGAAAATGCGTTTGGACATCAATTTAAAACATATTTCAATTTTTTTTTTTGGAAAAAACATGAAACATGACTTATAACCACAAGTTCTAGAAACTATCACAAATACTTAATAGTACATTCATCAATAACGTTCATTATATCGAAGCACCATTATTACAAAGTAATAAATGGTGGGCTCTTTTATAAAATACAAAAGTTTGGAACAATTTTAAAAAAATGTAATAGTAATATTTTTTGGGCCAAAACCAACTCTTGCGATTTGGGTTTTGGGAATTCGCCAAAATATGGATAAAATTTACGAACAAACATATATTTGCCCAAAAAAACCCAAATAAGTTTTGGCAAAATATATGACTAGACGGGTCAAGTGTGAAGAGTACCCTATAAAGAAGTGAACATTCTGGAGCATCAATTTTTTTACAGATGTTTTCATAAGCTAGTTTTGCAGCTGCTTGCTCAGCTTGAATCTTAGTGGGATGAGTTGATGTTGATTCGTATTTGGATCCATCAACCAAGACTGTTGATCTGAACTTTGGCGCGTGTGTAAAACCTTCATTAACTGTATGATAAATTGGGAGAGGTTTGGCCAATTTTTGTGTGTACTCTTGTAGCTGATTCTTATACATTACTGGTGATGGAATAACTGGTAAAAAAAGATTTATTAGTAGTAAGGAGTCAATACGAAAACAATGCATTAAAAAACATGAGAAGATAGTTGAAATGAGAGGTGCATACTAGGAGGAAATTTGGGAAACTCCATTACTTGAGATGATTGAAATGGATGATTTTGCTCCATAAAGAGAAACACAGAGTTTTGTGAAACTATGCAATTTTTTTTAGAAACTAATATGGAGTCTTTGAGGGTACAACTTGTGATAGTTCTGCAAAACATTTCCTAAAGTACTTTGCATGGGAAGTTGAGGTGTGTGTGAACTGTAAAAAGGAATCATTTTGTACCACAATATTACTACTGTATTTTTTTATTTTTTTACTTTTCTAAAAAAATATTACTACCACCTTTTTATTAAGGAACATTTGTGTAAAGCCTTAGGCCATAAAGGGAAAAAATGTGCTTTATAGTGGCAGGTTCTCTTCTAGAATCTCACGCTTTGAAATGGGTGAAATTCAAAAATAACCAGTTTTATAAGTGGTAATTAAAAAATAATCACAATTTCAAAAGTAATCGAAATTTAACTACTTTTCATGTAAAGATAAATCTAAACAAAAACATTATTCAAAATCCGATAAATATTCCAGGAGTTCCGGTATAATATACTGGGCTTCCAGGATGGTATACTGGAGTTCCAGCATAATATGCTGGAAGTTCATACATAGGTACTTCAATCTCCAGTATATTATGTTGGAACTTTTCGTGTGTTGGAGTTCGAGCATAATATGCTGATTGCAGCAAAATAGAGGCTATTTTTCAATTACGTACCAATTCGAAAACTGGATAACCCGTCCGTGGTGTTTTCGCTTAAAATGGAATCCACTTAGTTTTATGTTTTCCCCATTTTTTAGGTGACTGTATGGTAGTTAATTTGTCAGTTTGCATTTTACCATTTGTTTTTTCTTTTAGTTTATCATTGTTAAGAGTCTTAAGGATTAAAAAAATGGCATATTTTTATTCTAATTAACTTATTTACTCTCATTATGTTATGTGTAATTGTGTACTTATTAGATATTGCATCTGGTCATCTGACAAAGGAAAGAGAGAAAAACTATGATTCCACTTTACATTGAGAAAACATCAAGCAACTAGCTTTTCATAATAATCACCAATTTATATAACGGAAACATATAAAAAGTTTTCACCAATTTCTTCCCTTTTTCAAGCAATGGCATAATTGACTCATATACTATACCTGCAAATTGTTAACTGGACTATACATACAACTTGTACAAAACTATTAGTCACAGACCTATCAAGTCACTACAAAATTAAGACATACAGCAACTAATTACCATTTATCTAACAAGAAATATAAAAATGTCGTCTCAATTCAGAAATAGCAGGAGACCAATTATGATCTTCATGGTATACAAAACTTAGGAATTAAGTTTACAGAATAAATATAGCTGACCCTACATACTGATAATTTACAGAATCAAGACATCTAAGTGTAATTGCTAAAGAGTTAAACTAGGCATGAAGTGCAGCAACTTTTTTAAGATAAACCATCAGCTTCATTGTGTCGCCTTCAATTGGTTCTGCCTACGAAAATATATTTAAGAGAATCCTATTAGAGGAATTATGTCAGATGGAGAAATACAAGAAGAGTAATTGATTATTGGTTTTGTGAACATATCACAGGTGTCTCAAGTGACAAAGAATGTGTAAATATCCAAAACAAAGGGGTCAAATGATTTACTAAATCACAAGGCACTTACAACCAGAATGTAGGCCACTTCTGTTATCCACAAATCCCATAGCGCAAAAGAAGGCACAAGTATTAGAAAAAGAAGGAATATAACCTGAAAATTTACCAAAATTACTTTCTAAGTTAATGAGAACACACTTGATTACAATGATTTGTATCGAAAGGCAGTGGCGGAGCCACATGCACCCTTTACTTTTTTATATTTTAACTCTCTTTAATGAAAATTTTGGCTCCGCCACTGTCGAAAGGGCAGCTCAGTGCACAAAGCATCCCGCGTTCACGCAGAATCCGGGGAAGGGTCGCACCCCAAGGAGGTATAATGTAGGCAGTCTACCCTGATGCAAGACCAGTGATTGATTCCAGGGCTCGAACCTGTGACCTATAGGTCACACGAAAACAACTTGACCGTTGCTCCAAGGTTACCTTCATTACAATGATTTGTATCATATAATGTGAAATTGAAGATGAAGAACTTTTAATTTTGCATATTCAAAGAACTCTGAGAAAACACAGTATCAACTACATACCTAGGCAAGGAAGCATGCTTCCTCCGAAGTGGAGTGGTTTGTTCACCCACAATGCTCCTCGAGATATGCAAATTGTGACTCGAACCAAACAACTCCAATAAATTGATATAAAAGCACCACCCATAAGAAATTTTCATTGCATTTTACAGTATATTTGGTGCAATAACTTTATTCAGTCGAAGCAACATTATTTGACACGACACACTAAGCCCCATTAATATGCAGTGAGGAGTCTGAAAAATAAACACTCAACTAAAAATAATTGAGTAAATCATTACTACTAGAATGCACGAACCAGCATCACTCTTGGAAATAGAACATGATCAATTGGATCCAAAGAAATATTATGGATCCACTATTGAGTCACTAGAGCATTTGATCATAGAAAAAGGAACCCTTCTAAACAAAGATGCAATAATATGAAACAGTTTTCTTTTTTCCCCTCATGTTAGAGTTATGGCTATCTATTATGGCAACTGCTGCTCAGCTTTGATTGTTATACAAAAGTATCACCAGAAAAAGCATCAAAAATAGCAAGGGTTCAATAATTAGTTTTAATTGGTTTCAAGCATCTTATTTCAATCTCCTCACTCAAAACTTAATTTCACGATGTATGCGTATGTTGGAGAGGAGACTTTGGAAACGGCCATGCTCAAACACGAACAAGATGATGATTGTCTCTCCTATAATATCCACCATATACTCATAATTATCACCGATTAGATGATAATCAAAGTTGCCATCAGGAAAATCAAATGTGTGATTGTTAGATTAAAGTCGTTGCTTTCCTTACGATCTGTAACAACCATAAATTGTGAGATAGAGGAAGAATAAAGAACGAAACCAACATCAAGATCTAACAATGAAAACCTAAGTTGTCCACATCATAGGATTAAAAATTGTATTAGAAACTTTAACTTTTTTGGTGGTTGAACGTAAAAATGCAGAACAACCTTTACCAGAAGAACATATTTCTTGTACAAGCTTTTGGTAGCAACTAACCTTTCAGACAAAGCACCTAGTATGATCACTGCCACAAAGACTCCTGAGGCATCTCAGGATGATAATTTAAATCTATTAGTTCAAGAGAATTCAGAATTATGTAGATCACTTTTTCACAAACAAAGTAGCAGTCATAATGGGAAAAAACCGTACCTCATGTCTCTAGCATCTTTTTTTTTTTTTATCAATTTCCTTCTCTCAAATCCAAACTCAAGCTTCGACATTGGCTGAGTAGATGGTGATCCACTTTTGACAAACCACATAATAGGGATCATCTAATTTCTCGAATGCACCAATGGATGAGATAAAGTCTTCGCGCATTCATCAGACTCAACAATTTCCTTGGTAAATAAAACGACATCATAAACTGTTTCGTTGTTGACAGTACTCCTCTTCAGATGTTCGATCTTTAGGGTCAAACATAAGCAAGCGTTCAAGCAGCTGCAACGCCATTGGAAATTTTTGTGCAAACAGGATCGGTTTTTTTCCTCTGCGTGTTAATGAGGTATTTTCTTGCCTTTTCATTTCTAATCTGCAAGTTTCAATTTAAAACAAAAAGAGAAAGTTCTAGACAGGAAAAAGTACAAGGGAAATGTAAGTGTGGCAATGAAACAACCTGGATGATGCCACTAAAATAACACAGGAACGTAACCTGAGAGGGAAAAAGAAGTCTATAATGAGATAACTGACCTTAGCAACAGTTTAAGGAGAAGATGTTCCAGCCGGAGGCGGATGTAGTGTAATAACTATGAGTTCCGATGCGGAGTAAAAATTTATTAAAATTGCAAAAATAATATATATGAACCCATAACTTTAAAAATATAATGGGTTCAATATTAAAGACATTAAAATTGAACCCATAGGATTTAAACTTGATCCAATCGATTGAACTATATTGGTTTGGATTGGTTTGGTTTGTCGGGTTTTTCGAGTTTTCGGGTTTTTTTGTTACATGAATATTATTTCAATCTTACTTTGTTAAAATTGTAAATAAAGCTTTGATAAGTGAATATATGTTTCGTAAATATGGAAAAAATTGACAAATATATGATCTATTAAAATATTTTAATGGGAGAATTTTTTTAGTAACACATGATAGTTATTTTCTTAATCATCTAACAATAATTTTTCGTTAATTTCCATTTTCAAGGTTAATACATGAGAGGATCCCAAATATTTCTATATTTTCTAAAGAAAAATCACTATAAAGTCTTAAAAATATAAATTAAAATTTATATATTTATATGCCGGTTTGGTTCGGATTTTTTTACTCAATATCAAACCAAGTCAAACCAAACCTAGTCGTGTTTTTTAATTGATTTGATTTGGTATTTCAGTTTGGTGCGATTTTCCAATTCGGTTTGAACACCCCTAGCTATAGTCATTAAACCGTCGTCGCAGCCGTTGTTTTCGGTGGTGCAATCTAACAATTGTTGTTCGGAGAGTGAAATCAAGTTGTCTGTTGAGAGTTTGTGCCGGGGGAGGGGTTAGGGGTGAAACAACAAGGAAGGGGGAAGTAGTCATCGGCAGAACACAACCCCTACTAGGGTTTCTAAAAGCAGTGGAGGAAAAAAACGGGGAAAAAAGAAAGAAAGAGGAAAGAGAAAGGAGGAGAGAGTAAAGAGAGAGGGAGTGGAAAAAAATAATACACAGCATATTTAATGGCACAAAACTAGGAAATGGACATAAATAGATATTTTGCTATAAAAATTAAAAACTAGTTATAGAAGATAATTTTTTAAAAGAATATTTATTTATAATAAATAAGGTATCAAACCTTTTCAATAATAAAATTTCCTTTCTCATTCATAAAGTTGCCCCGAGACTTCCAACTTCCAAGTAAATTTCAAACTTATAAGTAGAAATTGCCTTACGTATAAACTTAGAGGAGTATCACTTAGTGATTATTATAAACGCGAACTGCAAACGAATTTTCCTTATTGAACCTTCACACTATAAGAAATTTCACCCATTTCATTCTAATAGAGCGGATTAGGGGTGTACACAGCGAATCGAAAAATCGCATCAAATCGAAAAGTCAAATCAAGCCGATTAAAAAACTCTATTAGATTTAATTTGGTTTGGTTTAATATTGGTTCAAAAAAATCCGAACCAAATTGACATATAAATATATAATTTATATATATATATATACTTTTAAGACTTTTCATAGAATTTTCTTTAAAAAATATCTAAAAATATTTGCGATTCGGTTATGGGAGGTAATATTTAGTTAATATGAAGTGCTCTATTTTTATTAACTTTAAAAAAAATTCTGCGACACATGTATCAAACATGTTTGACGCATGTATATGATCTTACACACAAGTATATATGTATACATGTGATACATACTTGATACACATATAATACATATGTGATACACAGTGTGATCCACATATTATCTTTTTTTCATGTTCATCTTCTACTTCAAATTTTCAATTCAAACTACCTCAAAACTCTACCAAATCATCCCAAAATTGAGATTTAAACTTCTTAATATATACTCAATCTATTCCAACAACACCCATTTAAAAGAAAGTAAAAAATTTGAATTTTTTTGGACTACAAATTCTAATTGGCCAATATTGTTAGTATTTGGCTAATATTGTAATGTTTTATAAATTGATTAATTTTTATACTAATTTGATTATGGACGAACATAACTAGCAATTTCTCATTCATAAAGTTGTCCCTCTTGCCGCGTTGCCCCGAGACTTCCAACTTCCAAGTAAAAAAATTTCAAACATAAATATAAGAAATTGCCTTACTTATAAATTTAGAGTTGTATCACTTTCATTAATTATTATAAACGTGAACTGCAAATAAATTTTTCCTGATTGAACCTTCACACCATAAGAATTTCACCCATTTCATTCTAATAGAGCGGATAAATACGAAAGGTATACATGTGTTTGACAATATTTGGTTAAAGTTTTAAAAATAAGAGTATATAAAATTAGAAGTTGAAAAGAAATTAATGAACTTTTTTCATTCAGTTGTATGTTCCTTTTTCCTATTTCTTTAGGTTTTTCATCGGCATTCACTTAGCCCTTCGATTATTCGAATTTACCTCCATTAAAAAGGGAAATGTTTTCCATCGGATCTTTTTATTCTTAAAGCTCAAATTGCGAATTTTTAATTAAAAGTGGAAAGATTCTATCCACATAAAAGTTCCTTTTAATTATAGAAAGAAAAAACACAGCAAACAAACTTTTATCAAATACTTATAATTAGCTTACTTTCCAACCCTACCCCTCGCTACCCCCACCCCCAAACGACAACCTCCCAAATATAATTGATGGTCATTGACTTGTTTGAAAGAGATAGTACTACTATACTTACTTTTCTGGGTGTCGTGGTGGCAGAAAAGTAGGAAGATTTCTGGACCCATAATTGAACATAATGCCAAAGCCCCATAATACAGCAGTCCACTTTTGCGATTTGCAAAAAGAGGCAGTGATGACCAGGGATGGCAAAATGGTTCAAACAAAATAGTTAATCACTCATATTATCCATTAAAAAATGGGTTGGATAATGAATTCTTTAAAAACGGGTCAAATATGGATAAGAACCATATTAACCAATGGATAACCAATTGGTCTAACTTTTACATTTGTAAAGCCTCAAATTGAGGGTTCCTCGAATTAGGAAGACTAAGAATTCTCCCAAAAATGATCATATGTAAGAAGACATGGATAATATGGTTATTCATATTATCCGCCGGTTAACCCGTTTTTTATCTATATTAAATATGGGTCGGGTCGGATAATTTACCCGTTTTCAACCAGAACCATATCTGACCCGACCTGCCCGCTTGCCACTCCTAGTCATGAGTCAACAGAAAGCCTAAGATAACTCTTTTGTTTCTCGGCTTGGGATAGAGGGGCATGTGACTATCTCTTTACCCTTAAAATGGATAACAATTGAATTTATACACGATTTTAAAAATATATGGACTAATTCAATACAAGTGATTAATAACGTTAGATAAACAGATTAAAGATAGAATAAATGGTCAAACCAGTTGTAAGAATGGGTTCAGGCTCGGTTGTGATCCAAACAATTAGCTTGCCTTCAATTCAGCACCAAACTCTTATGAAGGGCTATGAACAAAACTGAGAACTTATAATAAACTTTAGAAGAAGATAAAACAGATGTATATTGCATTGATATGTGTGCTACAATGTGTTTAATGAATAATCAGCTTCCCCTTTATATAGTAAGAAAATTTTACCCTAAATACAATTCTAAGAAAGGTAAAAATCTTTCTCTTCACAAATCACTGATCTTCCACTGATAAGGGCTGAGATTCACGTCGTGGCATCCGATCGGACGTGGATATCATGACCTTTTGTTAATCATGCGTAGTTGCTCGGTAATGCTCTCCGAGTTCACGAAACTTGAACCGGGCCCGGGCGTGGTCTCGATGACTCCGAGGGCAGGTGTTTTGCTCGGGCCTGATGTGAGAGGCTCTTGACTTCGAATCTGATTTCCTACAGTCATGTCCTTGCTTCGTTTGTCTCATCGGAAAATTAAGTTCTCACTACCCCAGTTTTCCCCGTATACACTATCATTTGGGAAGACAAAAATTTTAGAACTGCTGATAAGCTACCCTATTACAAAACCATATCAGTTCAAGAAAACTTCGAAAAATAAGAGATTGCTGGAAGATATGTTGTGAAATCTGTGTTTGACTCTTATCTCCCTTGGAATAACTTCTACCATAATGTCTCCATCTCAAATTCTCAATATACGGTATGATTCCCCGTAATCTAGTTATGATATCTAAATAATTGCAACAACAAAAGAGAAAAAAGAAGAATTCAAAACTTGTTCATACACCACAGCTAATATAATATAGTAAAGTGATGAATTGAAGTAAAACATATAATAGTAATTAATCATACTAAGTGATGATACATTTTATAGAATACTCATGTATGTAGAAATATTAAAGTCCTAGTAGTAGTTATACATTGTGTACATATAGAACTAACCATAGTTAGTTAGTTAGACACAAACTAGTGTGGGGTTAAGTTAGTGAGTTAGAAAATAATATATATTGTACATTTTCATTTTATTTTGGTTTAATGGGAAAATATCAGATAGTCAGTTGCTCTCACAACCGACCTACTCTCTCTTCTGCTCTCCTTCATCTCCAACTTCAATTCCCCTCTCAACATGGTATCAGAGCCACCGATCAATGGTGATTGAGCTGGTAAATGAGCATATGAGAGTGATTTGTCAAGCAATTGATTGATTCCATTGAATACCAGTAGCAGACAAATCCTAATTTTTACCATTGTTGAATTTTGGGGGATTACTTCATCTGCAGGTCTAAATCATCAATTTTTGATGAGTTCTAGGTTAATCAAAGCATCAATTGTTACTTCTATTATTGATTCCTAAAGATTCTCATGAAGAAATACCGAGCACAAGTGACGAAATGCCAACGTCGATGACGACACAAACAGTGGACCAGATAGAGCGATTCACTGACATTCATCCAAGGAATCCTTTATTTTTACACCCATCCGACACTCCAGATTGTATTCTCATTCCTCAACGACTAACTGGAATCAAAAATTACACTGCATGGAGTAACTCTATGAAAGTTGCACCGTTAGTTAAGAATAAATTAGGTTTGTTGATGGTAGTTGTAAAAAGGAAGATTATAGAGGAGATTTAGCTCATGAGTGGGACATATGTAATGCCTTCGTCTTGTCGTGGATCACAAACTCAGTTTCGAGAGAATTAGCTAATGGATTGATGTACTCCTCTAATTCTTATAAGGTCTGGGAGGATTTAAAAGAACGTTTTAATAAGAGAAATCTCACTAGAGTGTATCAATCACATAGAGAGATCTATACAATGGTCCAAGGTACTTATCTCTTTCTGAGTATTTTTCGAGATTGAGAAATGTTTGGGATGAATATCTATCTCTAGTTCTCCTTCCTGGAAGTGATAAGACCTATGTTGATCACATAGAGTAGCAGAAACTGATGTAATTTCTGATGGGGCTAAATTGAGACTTACTCACAGTCTTGCAATCATATTTTGATGATGGCTCCCAGTCTTTTACTGAATCAAGCTTACAATTTGATCATGCAAGATGAAAGCCGTAGAATGCAATCAAATATTATAAATCAGTGCGTTCAGCCTCTCTAACAACTGGACTTGAATGCCTCCACCATTCTTTCTTCTGTATAGGGGAATATATTCAAAAAGGCAAATACACTTTACTGTGATTATTATCATATGAGAGGCCACAAAAGGGAGAACTGCTACAAGCTGGTTGGATACCCTGCCAGTTCTAAGAATACTAAGAGAAGAACTTCTTATAGTTTTCAACAAACTGGCAAAGGCAACAAAGCTCCCATGGTAAATAATGCAAACTGTGATAACAACTTTGTTGCACCTAATTACAATGCACATCATGCTGATAATTGCACCACTCCTGTTCATGGAATGACTATGTCTGTCTTTACCCCGGAGCAGTATCAACAGATCCTGCAGCTGATCAATAAGACACCACCTCCACAAGAAAAAACATCAATATGGCAGGTATATCTTCCTGCTCTAATAGTTGTTCAACTGCAGACTGTGATACTACTCCTTGGGTGATAGATACAGGGGCAACAAATCACATAATTTCTAGCCTAAATCATCTACTCAACTCAGAAATAATACCTCCAAACTGTAGTCAAGTTCATTTATCAAATGGCCAAACTACTTCTGTCACACATATTGGTTCAGTGTCTTTATTTGACAACATACTGACTAATGTGCTATATGTACCTTTCTTTAAGTATAATCTCTTGTACATTTCAAAACTAACTAAACAACTAAAATGTTATGTTGGTTTCTTTCCTGATTTTTGTATCTTCTAGGACCTCTATACTAGAAAGGTAAGGGGTATTGGTAAGGAGAAAAATAGTTTATACTTACTTCAATCTGCCAAGAGACCTTCACCAATTCAAGTCTCAACATCTTCAACTTCACTTATTCTTTCACATCACTGCCTATCTTCTATTGAGTCTAATCAAGTCTCAATATGGCATCAAAGTCTTGGTCATGTACCAGCTGTAGTCCTCCAGAAATCCCAATGTTGAAGGGTCATCTATCCAATCATGCATATAAATCTTGTAATGTTTGTCCTTTAGCAAGGCAAACTAGATTTCCTTTTCCTACTAGTGTGTCAAAAAATGTATCTCCTTCTGAACTTGTACACATGGATATATGGGGTCCATATAGACAATGTACCTATAATGGTTTCAAATTTTTCATTACCATTGTTGATGACTATTCTATAATGACTTGGGTATTTTTGATGAAACATAAAAGTGATACTATTGTTTTGATCAAGAATTTCTTTGCCTTGATTAAAAATCAATTCTCTACCTCTGTTAAAACTGTTAGATGTGATAATGGCCTTGAATTCTTTAATTCCCACTTTCTTAATCTCATTAACTCATTTGGGGTAATTCATCAAAGTTCTTGTGTTGGTACTCCACAACAAAATGGGTTGGCTGAAAGGAAGTATAGGCACTTGCTTGAAATGTCAAGAGCTCTTAGATTTCAAGCTTATGCTCTATTAAATTTCTCGGGTGAGTGTGTACTCACATCATCTTACCTCATAAATAGACTACCCTTTTTATCTCTTTCAGGGAAGTCACCCCATGAGTTATTCCATGGCACGCCACCTTCACTTACCCACCTGAAGGCATTTGGTTCCTTGTGTTATGCCACTAAGTCCAATTTTTCTGATAAATTCTCTTCCAAAGTCATCACAACAGTTTTCATGGGCTATTCAGAAACTTAAAAGGGTATAAATTGCACAACATTGTAACATGCACCTTCCTTGTGAATAAGAATGTCACCTTTAGGGAATCAATGTTTCCCTTCAAACATTCTAAATCCACTTTTCTTCAACCACATACATGCCCTATTATGCCATCTGTTTCACCATCTTCATTGGATGATATATTTCATGTTGTAGGATATATCTCTACTCCTAGTGATCAGGTTACTCCTAGTGATCAGGTCATCTCCCCACCCTCAATCAATGAATCCCTACCTTCTTCTCTTATTCCTCATCCCTCATCTACCTTGATTTCTCCTCCATCTTCCTTACCATCTCCTTCTGTACCTCACATTGATCCTTCTATTCCTCTGAGAAAATCCACTAGGACATCAAAACCTCCTCTGTGGTTAACAAACTATGTTCAATATTCTTCCACAACTCCATACCCTTTATCAAACTCCTTATCCTACTCCTCTATCTCTTCTTCTTATCATACTTATATAGCAACCTATTCTATTATTTCTAAACCTACTTCCTTTTACCAAGTTGTCCAAGATCCTAACTGGATTCAGGCTATGAAATTAAAAATTGTTGCTCTTACTGATAATCATACCTGGGGTGTAGTTGATCTATCTGCATGTAAAACACTTATTGGGTGCAAATGGGTACAAAGTAAAGTACAAAGCTGATGGTAGCGTGGAAAGGTGTAAAGTTAGATTAGTGGCCAAGGGTTTCACCCAACAAGAGGGGTTAGACTATCATGACACTTTCTCCCCAATGGTCAAAATGGTCACTGTTAGTTGTGTTGTTCTCTGGCTGCTCAATTTGATTGACCTCTCTACCAAATTGATGTCTACAAAGCATTTATCCAGGGGACTTATTTGAATAGGTCTATATGTCTCTGCCATAAGGATTTGATAGCCAAGGGGAGAACAAAGTATGCAGGCTCCTCAAATCCTTGTATGGGTTAAAACAAGCCAGTAGACAACGGAATCTTAAACTTACTACAGGTTTAGTGCAATCATGTTTCACATAGAGCAAACTGGACTATTCCTTGTTCACAAAAGGCCAAGATGCTAATCTTGTGATCATTCTAGTATATGTGGATGACTTGTTAATCACTGGCAATGACACCAAACTGATAGAAGAAGCTAAGAACATTCTGAACAGCAACTTTAAAATGAAAGACTTAGGGGAATTGAGATATTTGTTAGGGATTGAATTTGCAAGATCATCTAAAGGTATACTTATGAATAAAAGAAAGTATGCCTTAGAGTTGATCTCAGAATGTGGCCTAGGGGGATCAAGGCCACTTGCAACTCCTTTAGAAAAAAATCAGAAGTTCATTAACCCTGAATATGACAAGTTTTTTTAACCTGATAAAGGTACAAGTCAAGAATTAAAAGATAGAAACCCATATCAAAGGTTGTTGGAAAGATTGCTATATCTGGCTATCACTAGGCCAGATATTTCTTTTGCAATCCAAACATTGAGTCAATACATGCATTCTCCAACAGAGATGCATTATGAAGCAGCTTTAAGGGTGGTTAGATACATAAAAGACCAACCATGATTAGGTTATTGATGAGTAGCAGAAAATCAGGAAGGATCACTACCTTTTGTGATGTAGAATGAGCATCATGTGTGGTGTCTAGGAAGTCAGTAACATGGTATTATATTAAGATGGGGGATTCCCTAATCTCCTGGAAATAAAAAAACAGAGTACAGTCTCAAGGAGCTCAGATGAAGCTGAGTACAGGAGTATGGCAACTACAGTGGCAGAACTTGTTTTGTTACAAGGACTGTTGCAGGAATTAGGCATAAAGGTTGAGCTGACCATGGAGCTATTTTGTGACAGCAAGGCAGCATTGAAGATAGCTTCAAATCCTATGTATCATGAACGCACTAAACACATAGATATAAATTGCCATTTTATATGGGAGAAGATACAAAGTGGGTTGATCAAGACATAACATGAGAGTAGCAAAAATCAAGTGGCAGACATATTGACTAGAGACCTTGGGAAGTAGTTACACAATGATATGGTATACAAGTTGGGGATGATCAATATATTTCATCACCCAACTTGAGGGGGAATGTAGAAATATTAAAGTCCTAGTAGTAGTTATACATTGTGTACATATATAACTAACCATAGTTAGTTAGTTAGACACAAGTTAGTGTTGGGTTAAGTTAGTGAGTTAGGAAATAATATAAATTGCACATTTTCATTTTGTTTTGGTTTAATGAGAAAATATCAGAAAGTCAGTTGATCTCACAACCGACCTACTCTCTCTTCTGCTCTCCTTCATCTCTAGCTTCAATTCCTCTCTCAACAATGTATTCATTTATTAAGTTTATTTATGCATATATTGAGTTCGAGTAATATGTTTTCTTAAAGAAAACACTTAATTTTATGTCATATGAGAGCGTCAATGAATGTGTCTACAGCCTAATTTATATTTGTTAATTTAGATTTTGTGGATTGGTGCCATCTAGAAATTAATTGTCTCATAACACTACAGTTAACAAATACTTAATTCATATAATCAATTTTATTTAGTTTGAAATGAATCTCATTTAATTAATTGGTCTACTGTTTGTCAAATTAATTTGTTGTTCCTTTATGTTGTAGGATAATATTTGTGGAATGAATTTACAAACTCAAAAATTGTGAGCTTAGTGTTTTGACCCGCGATATCATCATGCCACGTAGGTGTCATTTGACATTTATTAATGTCACGTGGAAGCTTACATATAAAATAGAGTAGCGTTTGTGAGAAGATTCTAGAGAAGTATGAACATTTCCTTTGGAAGACCCTAGATCTCTATGGATTTGCTAGGAAAGTCCTTGGAATCTTCTAGGCTTGTAAAGAATTCTAGAGAAAGCTCTTATCTTATAAATACTAAGGACTTGTTTAACAATTAATATTTACACACTAGCCCCTAGGAGACTAGTATATAAAGAGGGTCATTCATTTGTAATTCATCAAGAAAAATAATCAACTTCTCTCTAATACAAAAGATTCTTTTGGCAATTCTCCTATGTTCTAACATTCCCTTAGCAATCTTGAGTGTGGTAAAGCTGACTTGGCATAGCAAGAACGTGAGCAAGTTGTACAAGATCGTGTGCAAGTTGTCAAGTGCCGCACGTGTACATAGTTAAATACTAAGGACGTGAAAACGTGGTATCAGAGCAAAGGTTGCAACTAAGGGAATGGTGAACGACAGAGAAATTAACGCTTCCAACACCCAAGCCAATGTCATCCAGGATGCTGCTGGCAAGAACGGACGTAATAAAAAGAGGAATGCTACCAACAAGAGCCATTAGGTGCCACCCGAGGTAGTGCCAAATGAGGGGCTTACATCGCAAGAATCATCTGCCACTAAGGTTAGCGAGGATGAAGTGGAGGTCCTGCCGAAGGACGTCTCGCTCGACAAAGAGTGGGTGATGAAGGTGAACGTAGGGATGGACACCGTCGAGATCTTTGGCCATCGCTTGGGGAAGGTGGAAGACACCCTTAGTGTTCTTGAGAGACATACTCTTGAGGATATTGAGAGTATCCGAAATGACTTGAAGGGGAACATGCAGACTGAGATGGAGCTAAGACAAACTATCACTACCTTGAAGTGCAGACTCATGGAGGCGTTGAGCACTATCGATGCCATGAAGACTAAGATAAAGGCACCCAAGGAGCGTATCAATGCTGGCGTGACTGAGGCAGACAATAATGTTGTTATGATGAAGGAGACCAAGATCGAGGCTCCTAAATCGCCAGTGTCCAAAAGTGTTCGTGATGCACAAGAAGTGGAGAACTTCCTTTGGCACTTGGAGAACTACTTCAGGCACGACAAGGTGAGAGACGACGAGACCAAGATCAACACTGTTGTGTTGTACCTTTCAGAGATTGTTGTGTTGTAGTGGCGTCAAAAGTGTGTTGACATGGAGAAAGGTCTATGCAACATTGAGACGTGGGAGCAGTTCAAGAAGGAGTTGAAGAAGCAATTCTACCCGGTGAATGTGGTGTATAAGGCTAGGCGGAAGCTAAGGGAGCTCCGATAAACGGCCACAATTTGAGAGTATGTGCGCGAGTTCACTACCTTAATGCTGCAAATCCCCTCATTATCCGAGGATGATTTATTCTTTTACTTCATGGATGAGTTGCAAAATTGGGCAAAGCAGTAGTTAAGAATACATCAAGTAGCCAATGTGGACGAGGCCATAGCGGTAGTTGAGTCACTTGTTGACTTCAAGATGGAGCCTTCCAAGTCCACATAAGGCAACGCCTAAAGGGGTGAGGGAGATCATGAAGAGGACAATGGGAAAGTCATAGCCGAGGTATACAAGGGCAATGGCAAGGGGACATTATATAATGGACAGGGGTCCAAGAGACACGGCAAGGGGCCGGAAAACAATAGCGAGTACGTGCCTAAAGGAGGGTGCTAAAGGATCACATCGAGCAAGGGAATGCCCAGAGTTGGGAAAGCTTGCAATATTGATCGGGAATTTTGCTCATGGACACAAGGGTGACATAGAAAGGACCGCATGCATTGGAGGTATGTGCTTGGAATCTAAGCCGAAAATAGGGGATTCCAAATCCTATCTTGGCGCCATGCAAATAGAGCATGGTGGTAGCAAGAAAGTTGGGCGGACATAGTTGAAGGGAATGGTAAGTTACAAAGTGATGGCACGCTATCGGACTTAGACGATGCACCAAGTAGAGGGGTCAAGTTTGCTCGCAAGGCTGGAACCACAGAGGGTAGCCAAATAGGGAGTGAAAGCATAGACCCAATGCTTGATAAGCTTCTAGACTTGGTTGAGTGATGGGGAGATCCAGGACAAGAGCAAAGAGAGGCATCTGATGGGTGGCGGATCGAGGCCATCATTGCTAGTCGTCCAAAGTACAAACGGCGTAAGAAGAAAGATGACCAGTACCTTGCAAAATGGGAAGGCGAACCGCTCCATGGAGCATCATGGCTAATGGACAAAGATCTCCGACAATGCCAAGGCGAGGTGCGCGCGTACGTGTTGATGCTTTGTGTCGAGGGCGACACAAAATTGGGTGGGGGAGAGTGTCATGACCCGCCACATCATCATACCACGTAGGTGCCATTTGACATATATTAATGTCATGTGAAAGCTTACACATGAAATAGAGTAGCATTTGTGAGAAGATTCTAGAGAAGTATGGATATTCCTTTGGAAGACCTTAGATCCCTATGAATTTGCTAGGAAAGTCCTTGGAATCTTCTATGACTTGTAGAGAATTTTAGAGAAAGCCCTTATCTTGTAAATACTAAGGACTTGTTTAATAATTAATATTTACACACTAGCCCATAAGATACTAGTATATAAAAAGGGTCATTCATTTGTAATTCATCAAGCAAAGTAATCAACTTCTCTCTAATACAAAAACGTCTTTTGGCAATTCTCCTGTGTTCTAATATTCTCTTAGTGATTTTGAGTGTGGTAAGACTGACTTGGCATAGCAAGAACGTGAGCAAGTTGTGCAAATCGTGAGCGAGTTATCAAGTGTCGCATGTGTATTTAGTTAAATACAAAGGACGTGACATTAGACTACATGGTCATTTGGTATGGTGTATAAGAATAGTGCGGAATAAGGTATATTAGTAATGCACGAAATAGTAATGCATGGGTTAGTAATGCAAGCATTAATTATGCAGACATTATTTCTATCTATTATTTGGTGTGATGTATTAAAATTATAATGCACTGCATAATCTTTAAGAAAAATAATTGTTTATAAAAATGCCCTACATATTCTCTAGCTTGAAGGGACTTTAAGGATAATTTTATCTTGGCAAAATACCTTAAATCACCCCTAAATTTGGCTCAGATTATTAATATCCTCCCCGAACTATGCCCGGTCTTAATTACCCCCCTCAACTTGGTCTTTTGATAACCATTGCCCCCCTAAATGTTGATATGGCAAAAAATGCGGGTGCACTCGCCTACCACGTGGATTTTTCTGTATATGTGGTATTTTATTTTTTGAAAAATAAAATATATATTTACCTTTTTAAGAATATTACTTTTCTAGATAATGTTTTCGAATACAATTTATAATAAAACTTGGATAGAACTACATTATTTAGGCTAAATATTTTTATTTGGCCAAAAATAATAAATTTTTAGTTAATCTTTTTTTGAATTTGACTTGAAAATAAAAATTTATACAATTGAAATAAATAGTCAAGACATCTAGAAAGTTATAAAAAATACATAGTTTGAAATTAATTATTTTGGCTATAATTTTTTATATAGCTCTAATTTTTATTTTATTTTTACGGATTTTACTAAAAAAGGTATAAATACACAATTGAAATAAATATTTATTGCATCAAAATAAGAAATAAAAAGAGTACAATTACAAGAATAAAACGAATCACTTGCATTATACTGCAATTGTACACTCTTTTTATTTCTTCTTTTGATGCAATGAATATTTATTTCCACTGTGTATTTTTATTTTTTTAGGTAAATCTGTAAAAAAAAAATATTTTTTGAGCACCGTAATTATATAAAAAATTATAGCCAAAATAATTAATTTCAAAGTATGTATTTTTTATAACTTTTTAGATGACTTGACTATTTATTTCAATTGTATAAATCTTTATTTTCAGGTAAATTCAAAAAAATATTTAACTAAAACTTTATTATTTTTGGTAAAATAAAAATATTTAGCCTAAATAATGTAGTTCTATCCAAGTTTTATTATAAATTATATTCGAAAAAATTATCTAGAAAAGTAATATTCTTAAAAAGGTAAATATATATATTATTTTTCAAAAAATAAAATACCACATATACAGAAAAATCCACGTGGCAGGCGAGTGCACCCGCATTTTTTGCCACATCAGCGTCTAAGGAGTTCATGGCTCTCAAAAAGCCAAGTTGAGGGGGATAATTAAGACCGGGCATAGTTTGGGGAGGATACTAATAATTTGAGCGAAGTTTAGGGATGATGCCTTTTATCTTTAACCATACTAATGCATGCATTAATAGTATTAGTAATGCATAGAGCTAATACTTGCATTATTTTTTCAAATACCTCCCACCAAACGACCCCTGCGTGTAGTGGCCAATGGAATTTGTGATTGAGCTCAATGTATATTGTGGACTTTCTCCCTGTTGTTTGTCTCCATAAAATTTTGTACATTTTGTCCAATGAGACCAATTGTATCATTTGCTTTTATTAGAGGCTGCGTGTTTAAACTTTAAAGTAAGTTCCCATGACCGTTAAACCCTATAGCTGTTAATAGAAAAGTACTAACTTCAGCCAGCAATAAATGGAGTACCACCCAGAGTAATGGTGAAATAAATATAATAATTCTTTCAATCTTATTTAGAGATTTTCAGTTCAAGCATTGGATAAAAAATCATAATAAAAAGTAATATCAATTTGAATTAATCAAAATCCAAAACAAATAATACTAAACATCGAATGAAAAAATAATAATAATAATAAATGAAGTAGTAAGAATTGAGTAGAAGTTCTCTCAACCACCCCTCTATCTTTCACCCTTTTCTTTAATCCAACATTTCCATTCATCTTCTTCGTAACTTGATTTTAACAGTATTAAGGTATCTTGGAAAACAGATACAAGTGAAGAAATCGGACATCCAAATAAATACTGCATTGTTATAATTGTTGGAACAAAACCGCACAAAAATACTTTTAACATGGTGTGATATTATTCGTTTTGTGCCAAGCTCGTGCGGTTTTCCCTGATAGATCTCGCACCATTAAGAATATTCAACTTCTTATAATTAGAATTTTTTCCTCTCTACTTTGTATGTGAGACTTTGTTCACACACCCAACAACAATGACATTGCAATTAAATTCCCGAACAAATTTTACAAACCTAGCCAAACCGTTATATGATTTGACAAAAAGTAATGTATCTTGTTATTGTTGTTGACATTATTTCTCCAATCTTTAAGAGAATTATTGAATTTGACTTCATTGCAACTTAATAAACCGACTCAAGTATGTACAGAGTTGATATCTATGTTAAGCTTATCCCGAAACACGACCAACTCAATAGCCTGTTTGGTCAAGTTCTTTTTAGGCCAAAGTGTCTTTTTTGGCCAAAAACATTTTTGCCCAAAAATTGAATTGTTTGGCTAACTTTTAGAAGGAAAAAAAAGTGTTTTGGTGGAGAAGCAGAATCAGTTTTTGAGAAGCAGAAAAAGTAACTTCTCTCCAAAAGCACTTTTCTTAAAAGCACTTTTGAGAAAAATACACTTAGAAGCAATTTTTAAAAGCTTGACCAAACACTAATACCGATCAAAAGTGCTTTTTAAA